AACTCCCTGGTGCATGTTCATGTAACGGCAGGATGGGATCTGATCCTCAGTTACAACAGTCACGCCTTCTGCCATGCCACATTTGCATGGCAGGAGACATGATTTTGAGACTGGGAATCAGTTCCTCAGTTCCCAATAGCAATGGTGCTAGTGGGTTCCCCCTGCACTAACAAGTTGAAAGCAGGATGCCCACATGAAGGGCTAAATGTAACATTCCCAGGTAAGCCTAAGAGACAGAGATTAATTACAATACTCTTAATAAATATTAGACAAGGTTTGTGGCAGGATCTAGGGGGAACAGCAATGGCGTAGCCAGTGCATCTCTACATAGTATGCAACTTCTGGCCCAGAACACTGTGTGAAGATGTGGTCGGGTATTTCCTCTAGTTGCACAGTGCCATTGGATATTGACCTTTAATTGCTTTTAACACCTCCTTGCAGCTTGGGATTCCATTTCTTAGTCTTTATGAGCAAATTTACTAAATGTGTAGGTGTTTGACTGACCTGTGAAAAGTCAGGAAGTATTATGATTGTGAGTAGAAATAGTGTGTGAAGTATGGTAATCTGCTTCTGTCAGTTGCGTGTTTGACAAGTGCCTACATGTTAATAAGTCTTTTTCTGCCTGTTTTTATTTAATCAATTTTATTCTTTTTTTTAGCAATTATATAGAAAAAAACCTGGAATGACAATGTCTTGTGCCAAATTACCTCAAAACATTTCCAAAAATAGATACAGAGACATTTCGCCTTGTGAGTATTTGTGCATGTGCGTGCATGCATGTGCACATATGTATGCACATATTTGTTTTTTAAATTTAAATATTTTGTTGTAATTACTAGATAAATAACATTAAATTTAAAATTATTTTCAGATGATGCTACACGGGTCATTTTAAAAAGTCATGAAGATTACATCAATGCAAATTATATAAATGTGAGTAGATTTATGGACAAGAGCATTTGACTTGTATTGATTTTTGGGGTTTCTTTATGGAAAGCTTAAAAAACAAGATAATTAACCCTTTCTTAAATGTAACCTGGGCTGGAATGGCTGGGAAGTGCTTTCATCAGATGGCTAAAACGTTAATAGGTTTGTTTATAAAAAGTGGTTAATTGGTTCCTATTTCCTCTTGGTGAAATTGAGAGACTTTATATACAGCAATAAGGGTTTGAATTTTAGTTCAGAGGGAGTTATTGTTGAGGGAAAAGTAGCCCTCTAGGGAAA